ATCATTTTAGAAAAACAAATTTAGTTTGGCTTAATTCTGGTGTTTGATGTCTTCTTTCCATGATCTAATCATTTCCTAATGACCTTTGTTAAATTTGTCATTGATTGAATGTTTAACTTGTAAATGCATTAGATCAGGGGTCTCCAAACTCGGTCCTGGAGGGCCGGTGTCCTGCAGAGTTTAGCTCCAAGGCATTTAATATCCTAGATTCACTTAGCCATATGCTAGCAGATTTTTCAAGACAATTAAAGGCTTCGAAAAAATCATAAGGGGGAATTACTGCTTTATTAATGTTGCAGAGTAAAACGTGAAACATCATGTGCTTGTGTATCCACAAACAGTACCAGTCATTTAACCAAAAACCCATTCAAAAAATGTAACCCATTGACTTCAGATGATGGAACTGACATGCTAAAATGCTAATGCCGAGTTCACACTGCAGGATTTTAGCCCGATTTTTCACTCGCCGACAGGTTTTGCGAAATCGCCGACAAATGCCCGAAATCGGAGGCAAATCGGTGCTCGTTCACGCGAGTGACAATCACACAGTGTGAATTATCAAAGACCAGTGTGAACACCCAATCCCTGTTCCCTGCATCTCTCTCCTGCATAATCTGTTTTTCTTTTTCTCCTTGTAGCTGGAAATCAGCTCACAGACAATTTGCGGGCTATATATATATTTTTTTTAATAATTAGTCTTGCTCGAGAACTCCGGTCTGATGCACGCGGGTTCTCGCGTTATTTCCTTATCACTTCTCGTGTGTGTTTTGTTGTGAAACGTAGTAATAGGCGATTCTTCCTATTGTAAAGTCATGCAGTGTGAAACCCCCTGTCGCCGATCCATCGTGCAATGTGAACACAGCAGCAACTGAATGCTACCCCAGATAGTCACGCAGTGTGAAAACAACGGCGTTCCGACGAGTTTGAAAATCGTGCAGTGTGAACTCGGCATAAGTTGTTTCCAGTCTTGGCCTACAGAAATATGTGATCCCTGCAGCACTCTATGCAGTTAGTTACATTTATGCATTTGTCAGATGCTTATCTAAAGTGACTTACAGCACATTCAAGGTATACTATTTTAGTGTTCATTCTTTAAATCTTAAAGTTTGAAGTCTCGAACTGTACTTAGATTTACCAAGATACCACAATCTGAACCTGAAATCAAAAGTCAGAGATATCATTTGGTCTCATTTGTGTCTGTTTTCATCACCCGTAATGAACTTTAGGAGAGCCCGATATGAAATATGCATGGGTAAATCTCACCCTCAGTGTTGAAAATTTCTATTGATATTACTCTGTTTCGACCATGAAAATTTGTAAATGTGAGCACACCTTTACAGTATGAATCATAACTGAGAAAGGTCTTCTCATTAGCCTTCCACCTCATTTCTACTTATGATCCCAAATGCGTGGATTTCTATTGAATTTACTTTACTCCAACCACAAAAAATTGGCTGAGCAATGGTAAATGTGATTGCACCTTTACAGTAAGATCATCAACAGGTCTTCTCATTAGCCTTGCGCTCTTTTCTGCTCATGATCTGGTTTAATTAGCAATTTCAGGCTCTTATTGGTTGATGTTCTTGATTGTTGTACAAGGCAGCCAATCATTGGCTTAGACAGTGAGGTTCACAAGTAACGACTGTTACATCTTTGTTCATCTCTATTTACAAGCACATACTCATCAGTCCTGAGGCTACAGACTCAATGAGATGTTTGTCTGTTCGAGACGCACTGTCCACGTTGGGAGTGGGATCCCCATAGTAAAGTCTATTGCTGTAGGCTGTTCGCGTTGCTTTACGCAAGACTAGGTAATGCCATATTGTCATTATGCTCCGTGCTTCCCAGCACGCACAAACACACCACATGTGTGTCATCGTACGTGTCCTGTACGTCAATCGCCACATCTGCAAGTGCTGTTTTATAACCAGAGACGTCTTAATCGCCTCCTCATGTGTCCTGGTTCATTCAGAACAGCTGGAGAGAGGTGAATTAGCACTGTGAGCTGTTTGATTTGGCATTCGAGAGATTAGGCTTGGAGGATGCGCGGATCCCCTCCGTTGGGGTGTGATTCACTGTGGCAGGTATTTGCATGGCAAGGATGCTCATCATTTATGCCTGTTAGGTGATGGGTAATGCATCTCACTGGCATCCTGTTGGCACTCTTCAGCTCCTACTGTGGTCATCTGTTTGGCCTCTACTCAAACAGTTATGTGTGTGTGGCGTTTCAAGGTGGTCCCACCAGGCATGTTCATCACTTTGAGGAGAGCAGAGGCGTTTCTGCCCAGCATTCAGTGCCAGTTGTTCTCTCTCGGCTCCTGGTGGATTTCCAAGAACCCACAGCCAGACTAATTCTACTTGAGTGTCTCACCAAGTCCTGGACGCACAGCGAGCTGGACCGTCCTAGAATCACAAAGACACAAAAGCAATGAAACAAGGTCCTCATGCATGCAACTCAAGCCTGGATACAGTTCACAAACACAAGGAGAGCATAGGAAGCTTGGTTTAATTACTTGGTCTAAAATTATTTGTTTTTTCAATCATGGTGCACTTGCGTTAGCAGCATATGTCGCTGTTTAGTATTGATGTTTACCTGTAATTGCCCAGTTTCTCTATTTTTATTCATGGTTTTGTCCCACCAGCACACTTCCGGCCACTCTTATGTACAATCACTGTAAGGGATGGTGCGAGTTGATCGTAATTTAGTGGAGATAAGCAGCAATGAGAAATTCATTATACCATTGCCATATTTGTTTTAATGATAAAATGTTTTTATTGCTTTTCACACACAAAACACTACAAAACTGTAAAGAAGCTTCACATAGGATGTACCACAGAGTAGGGGGCATCAGACGCATCAAATACTAAGTGACATACAACATTTAATTACATGCGTTCCTTTAAAACACATGAACGTTCCTTTAATTACATGAATCAATTAAAAGCAGCAAAACTATTATTCAAGAAATGTTTCTTTAGTAGCAAATCAGCATATTAGAATGATTTCTGAAGGATCATGTGACACTGAAGACTGGAGTTTCACAGAAAGAAATTACATTTTCAAATGTGTTAAAAAAAAATAGTTCTTTTAAATTGCTGTGCATATTTCATGCACATTTTGTGTAGTTTTTCTTTGCTGATGTAAAACCATTAAAATAGTTTACACTGAATTAACTTCAGATGAAGATCAGTAGCATACAATAACAATAGTCTAATTATACATCATCAGCAGGTGTTCACTTCCACAAGTAAATCTGAATTGCTTTCACAGATTGCAAACCACATGAATCATATCCCGAATGTCAGAAAATGGCCTTTTGAACCAACCAAAATAATCAAACTCTGACTACAAACGGACCCCAAGGCTCTAGTCTAAAGCCCTGAGAGAGGTCGAAATGTCCATTTTTATGTGGTTAGTGAATGTTCATTGTTCTTATTTAACTTTCCTTTTCTTAATCAAATGTCCTGTTGCTTTTAATTTTCAGCCCTCGGATTTTTAAGTTTTCAATTTCAGAAAGCCTTCTCTAAGAACTTTGGCAGACAATGAATACCTCCATGGGAACCAAAGCAGTCCTCAAAATCAAACAGTGATTGAATGTCGCAGCAATGTACTCTCTATCCATGAATTCATTTACACAATCGACTTTTAAGCTAAGATGTAATTTAGTTCAAATAATACCTAATGTGTTTCTGTAGCTCAACTGATGAACATACTATTAGCAACGCCACAGTCACCTACAAATACTGATGTAAATGTACTGTCAGTAAATTTGAATCTGTTCAATGCATTCAAAGCATCCTGAAAAAAAAGTACCATAGTTTCGCAAAAAAATATTAAGCAGAATGACTGTTTTCAACATTGGAAATAGTAAGAAATGTTTCTTGAGCAGCAGATCAGCATATTAGAATGATTTCTGAAGGTGACACTGAAGACTGGAGTAATGATGCTGAAAATTCAGCTTTACAACACAGGAATTCATTACATTTTAAAATATAATCAAATAGAAAATGCATGGTTATTTTCAATTGTAATAATATTTCACAATAATTCAGTTTTTTTTTCTGTATTTTTGATCAAATAAATACAGCATTGGTGAGCATGAGACATCTTTCAAAAACATAAAAAAAGAAATAAATAAAAATATTTGTGCATTTAAGGTGTGCTATTTTAAGAAACCTATAGCCTAGATCTAGTATGGATATGTTTTGTGTAAAGTTTTAATACCAAAGTCACCTACCAATACTGATATAAATGCACTGTCCGTAGCTTTAAGTCTGGTCAGTGCATTCATGTAAATGTAATATATGTGATTTGAGGCTATATCTTAGGGCTATAGCTTCTGAGACAAGACATTGTGAACATATTCACCTCTGCTGAAAGAAAAACTATATACGATGTAAAAGCTAAAGCCATCACATGTTCTTGGAAAAGTTCTCAGATTCGAGATCTGTCTGTGGTTCTATTTCTGAATTGGTGACAGCAGCCCCTTAACTGGCCTCCCCTCTGAGACGCTGGCCATTAATGTGTAATGTGTGTGAGTTATGTTTGAAGCATGTCACTATAGACATCAAAGTGATGAATTCTGATACTCATTAGTCAGTTTAAGCTAGCACAGTATCAGTACTAAAGTCCTAATGTGTGTCCAGTGCTGTGAGTGAGTGGATATAGTGGGATGTTAAGCATGAGCCAGTAACTTTATTTTATAGTAAATAACAACAAAAAAAAAACAAAAAAAATGCATGTAGCATTTCTGGTGTTACAATGATAATTATAAATTTTAAATAAGATTATTTTTTATACGATACATTTTTTAATCATTTTTAAATAAAATAAAAATATAATGCATTTAAAAAAAATTTTTTTTTATAATTGTTCAATATATATATGAATATATAAATCAATCTTTATTATAAATCAGTTATATATATATATATATATATATATATATATATATATACTGCAAGCGCAGCCTTTCTTTTCTTTGAATTTGTGTTGATAGCTGTGAAGGGAGCATGGCAGAGTGGGTTCTTTGACCATGGTACATTTATGGAGGTGATGGCTACCTGGGCACAGACAGTGGTGGTGGGTAGAGCCAGGTAAGAGACAGAACATTAAGTGAAGATGTCAAACAAACATTTGATTCAACTGAATATTCTGAGCTGAGTGAGACTGTGAATGTCCTACAGGCTTGGTGGGATTCCTCTTGGTGTCATTGCCGTTGAGACACGCACAGTTGAGGTTACCATTCCAGCAGATCCAGCCAACTTAGACTCGGAGGCCAAGGTCAGAGTCCTGACACTATGAACGTTTTAGGCCCTGACTGTGGTTCCCTTAAGTGTTCTCTGTGTTTGCTGTTAGCGTGTCCCAATTATTCTTATCATTATGCACTTAAAGTGTCTTTCCTGCCTCAGATCTATCAGCAGGCTGGTCAAGTGTGGTTCCCAGATTCAGCGTATAAAACCGCTCAGGCTATTGAAGATTTCAACAGGGAGAAAATTCCACTTATGGTGTTTGCCAACTGGAGAGGCTTCTCTGGAGGCATGAAAGGTATATAGCTGGTTTGCATTTTAATGTACCTGTTCAAACGTTTAGGGTTATGAAGTTTTTAATTAATTAATAAATTTATTTTATTCAGCAGGGATGCATTAAATTGATCAAAAGTGACAGTTAAAAATAAATTTTGGCCTTTCTATTCATCAAAGAATGCTATCATGGTTTTTACAAAAATATTAAGCAGCATGGCTGTTGTCATCATTGATAATAATAAGAAATGATATGCTTTAATGTTCAAAAAACACATTATTTTTCAAATACTGTACATTATTGTAGGTCCTCTATGCCCCGCCTCTCTTATAGAAAGCTGTTATTTAAAATTGTAATAATATTTCACAATATTACTGTATTTATCATCCAATAAATGCAGCCTTGGTGAGCATGTAAACTTCTTTCAGGAACATTTATGAACGGCAGTGTATCTGCAAAGTTTTAAGGGCTTTTCTTTCAACATTGAATGCTCTGTGTGTCAGATATGTATGACCAGGTGCTAAAGTTTGGCTCTTACATCGTGGATGCCCTGCTTGTGTTCAACCAGCCTGTACTGGTTTACATCCCTCCCCACGCTGAGCTGAGAGGAGGATCATGGGTTGTGATCGACCCCACTATAAACCTTCAGCACATGGAGCTCTATGCAGATCGAGAAAGCAGGTGAGCATGTCGATTCCTGCACTACTCTTCTAAATCTTTGATCTTATTTGATCGTTCACCTCAATTCCTCTTCAGAGGGGGTGTTCTAGAGGCTGAGGGCACAGTAGAGATCAAGTTCAGAAAGAAAGACCTGCTAAAGACCATGCAAAGGATTGATGCTGTGTATTCCCGTCTGGTTGAGCAGCTAGGTATAGCAATTAATCTCACTTGAACACAAATTTCCTCACTGGCCCAGGGAATGTTTACCTGCTGTGACACACGGTTTACTGTTGTACTCCACATAGGCAACCCGGAGTTACCAAGCCAGGAGCGTAAAGACTTGGAGGCCAAACTGAAGTCTAGAGAGGAGTTCCTTCTTCCCATCTACCACCAGGTGGCGGTGCAGTTTGTGGACCTTCATGACACTCCAGGAAGGATGCAGGAAAAGAGTGTCATCACGGTATAAACAAACGAAATATTAGGCACATATGAAGAGATTTTTTTCCCATAGCCGTGGATCACATGCAAGAAATCTACCAGTTTTAAAGAGTGGCCTTTCTGCTTTTTCACCTAATCAAATGTTTTCAGGACATCCTGGACTGGAAGAACGCTAGGTCATTCTTTTACTGGCGTCTGAGGCGACTGCTGTTGGAGGAGGCGGTGAAGGGGGAGATCATGCAGGCCAACCAAGATCTGAGCAACGGCCACATACAGTCCATGTTACGCCGCTGGTTTGTGGAGACAGAAGGGGCTGTAAAAGTAAGGAAACTTAATTCATGTATGATGGGAAACAAAAAAACTGAAGATTTCTGTTTTTCTCTCTTTCTCTGAAGTCGACAATTTATAACACAAACTCAGACAATTCATGATTTGTCAAGAAGAAAACAACAGTTATTGTAAAACACTATTAAAAGTAGTTTCTGGTGAAGCTGCAATAAAATATAAATATGTTGCCTCTGGAACCAACCGAAACATTTCTAAAACTTAACCTGAAATAAAAATTAAAGATTCATTTTAAAATGTAAATGAAAACGGAAAACGTTTTAAAGTTAATTCAAAATATTAATAAATATTGTAATAAATAATACTAAAATAACATTGGTGGGCAGTGTAGTCAAGCTTTGCTAGCTTAATTAAGCTAACTCTAACTTCAAATGTATCTTCATCAAACTTGACTATAATGAAGTTGATATTCATCCCATGTGAAGTAATTGTTTGATAATTGGATCTTTCAGGCGTATCTATGGGACAATAACAAAGTGGTGGTAGGGTGGCTGGAAAACCATCTGTCACAGCAGGATGGAACATGTTCAGCCATCAGAGAGAACATTAAATACTTAAAGAGGGACTACGCTCTCAAACACATCCGCAGGTAATTTTCTCCCCTCGGATAGGCATTTAATTAGATTTTTTTTTGTGTTAATTTTCCCATGGATGCAATAGCACACACTACTGTAAAATACAGTAGTTTGGGTTCGGTAAGATTTTCTTACGCTTTTCAAAGAAGTATCTTATGTTCACCAAGTCTGTATTTATTTGGTCAGAATTACAGCAAAAACAGTAATACTGTAAAATATTACAATTTAAAAGAGCTTTTTACTATTTTAAAATGTAATTTATTCCTGGGAAGGAATTTCAGCAGCTATTACTCCAGTGTCACATGATCCTTCAGACATCATATGCTAATTTGGTGCTCAGGAAACATTATCAATGTTTCAAACAGTTATGCTGCATAATATTTGTGATAAACTGCTACATTTTTAGGATTCTTTGATAAACAGAAAGTTGAAAAGAACAACATTTGTTTAAAATGTAGTTGTTTGTTTAAAGTGCCCCTATTATGGATTTTTGAAAATTACCTTTCATGTAGTGTGTAACACAGCTCTAAATGAATGAAAACATCCTGCCAAGTTTTAAATCTGAAAGTGCACCGTGTATAAAGTTATTGTCTCTGAAAAGAAAGAGTCGACTCTGAATCATTGAAATGAGTCGTTTTTAAAACGAATCTCAAGCCATTTCATGTTGACGTCAAAATTAAACATTAGCATATGTTTTTCCCATTGGTCTGAATGAAAATGCAAATTCATTCTTTGCCACTAGGTGCCGCTGTTGGAGCGGTAAAATAGCTGTTTCCCCGGTAACGGCTGTAAACAAAGCAGCACTGCGCTCACAAACGCTGCTTTATCAGCATTTGTGCATTACCAGTGTTGCCAACTTAGCGACTTTGTCGCTAGATTTAGCGACTTTTCAGACCCCCTTAGCGACTTTTTTCCAAAAAAGCGGCTAGCGACAAATCTAGCGACTTCTTGGACAAACCTTATTTAGTCACTGAGACCTGGGAGTACTGCCGCGCGAGCGCGAGGTCTTGTTTTCCCAGCGCGCACACACCTCTCTCTGCGTCTGATTTGTTCAGCGAGCGGCAGAGAGGAGCAGTGCTTTCAGTTAAAATAGATATTCTGTCGCTTCTAACTCTATTTTACATGCAAATATAGCCGAAATCACAGCACAGCCATTGTCTTTATCTTGTGTATTTGATTTCATTAGACGAAGTCACTATTGACAACAGAAACAGTGAAATATATCAATGAAAACAGTTCTGTTGAGAATTTGGCTGCATTAAAATACAGTTTGTGAGCACAGAGAGGCAAGACAATACGACGCACTGACGTCATGAATATGCTAATTGGCATATGACGTCATTTAGCGACTTTTCAAGCAGGCTTTAGCTACTTTCCATTGAACGAAGTTGGCAACACTGGGCATTACAGGCAAGATGAAATGAAAATGAGACCAATCGGACCAATCACCGCCGATTAGCATCACGCAAAGGAGGGGTTTGGAAAAATGAATCTTTAAACGAATCGTTTGGGAGTCGTTGAGTAAGTAAGGTAAAAATAAATGCATATTATAAGACAATGAAAGTGTTTTTTGACCTTGCATGCATGTCAACCTGTTGTTGGGGACTCCCAAAACCAAAATATGAACCTTTCATAACCCATAATAGGGACACTTTAAAAATGTCACTTTTGATCAATTTAATGTCACTACAGAATAAAAGTAAAAAGTACTTTTAGAAAAAAATCCCCGAAATGACCACAAACCTCCAAAAAGCCTCTAAACCTCTAAAAAAAAAAAAAAGCCAAAGCTTTGCATCCAACACCATTCCTGGTTTTCCGTTTCTCAAATCTAATTTGATTCTCAAATCTGTTTTATAATAACAGTCAAACGTTAAGTCAGATTTAGCACAAACACAATGACCAGCAAACAGTCATTGGTTGTATAAGCAAACCTCTTTTAAAACTTGTCCTGCATTATATGTTTAGTTTAGTCCAAGCCAACCCAGAAGTGACCATGGACTGCATCATCCAGATGGGACAGAACATCACTCCCTCACAGAGAGCCAAAGTCTGCCACCTGCTGGCCACAATGGACAACTCTACCACCAGCTGATCACATCCATGCCATTGAAATAAACCTACAGAGAGATGATATCCAAGTGGTATTATTAATTGATAGTGCTTTAAAAGTCTAATTTAAAAGAAAAAGAAAAAAGGACTGTTTTGGTCGGTTCTTTGGATCAACACATTGGTCAGTAGCCTTAAACGCACAATTTTAAATGTCCAGCAATCGCATAGTCCACCTACTCATCTTAGTGCACACAGTTGCTGTTAGTGAGACCATGTTAGGATGGACATTTCTCAGCGGAGCATTTCTTTAAACTCGCTCTCAAGAGAGGGAAACTAGTATACAGTGTTTATCTGTTCACATTTGTGCCTTTGTGTCCTTTCTGTGGAAATAACCGACTGATGAATGTACAATGAGCGGACAAGACTGAATATTAGATGGTTTTAGGGAATCACCGATGCTTGGAGCGCACATTCATGCTGTGTAGCACTTCCTCAGGAATATATGAAGCATTCATTAAGCAGAACAAACTATTAAATCTCTATTATTAGAGCGAAGTAACAGTATTACACCTAAATACAATCACTGTGTAGATATCAGGGCAATTCTTGATGATAGCTTTCATCATCAAGTAGTTATGAACAAACATTGCATTGCAAGATACTGTAATGCTTGCAGAATTGTTAATGTACATTCAAATTGTCATGAAATTCATGTATCTGTTCATATTGAATGCACATTAACTAATCTGCTTGGTGTTAAATATACCACATGCTATTGAAAGTAGTTATACAGCAACCCTGTTATACAGTGTTATCAATATCAGGGCCACTGTATATTTTAATGGCTTGAACTTTGGTTGTTTGTATAGTTTATTTCACATGACTGCAGGTAATTCTTCTGTTCATATGAATGCAGCCATACAGTATGTGCTGGTTCTATGAATGGATAAATATGTGTACCTACTGATGCTGTACTGTACTCAGCTGTTGATTCTGATTAAAGAAGACTTCTTGATCAGATGTAATGCCTTTAATCGAGTTTGTGTGCTTTCAGAACATACAAGTCAGATTAATACTAGAGCCAAAGTGCCTGACTTTGTCGACTGTTTATCAGGCTGTTTTTAAAAAGAGATTTATAATTATGCATTAAATAATCCGTGTTTTCATCTTGGTGAGTTTGTGGTCATTTATCCAATTCATAATGATCTTAATCTTAGAAATACAGATGGGTCGACATTTTGTTCAGTTGTGTATATATACAGTATTTGCTTTGTTTTTGCCAAATTATTCTACCCGCACTCTATATGCAGGGTGGCATTTCATTTATGTAATGTCACTAACCTTCCCAACACTGGTCATGTATATGCATATGCAGCTAAAAATTAGAGTCATTAAGAATTAAAAGCAAGTTAAATGAATACATCTTTCAATCTGAATCTGACAGTTTATTGCTTGCATTCAAAATATTTAGATATGTACAATAAAAAACGATTATTGTCACCATTTCAGCTCTTTTCATAAATATAAATAATAAACAAACATCAAAGAGCAGATACAGTGTCTATCACAGTACAACAAAAGACACACAACTACAGTTACAAGGCTAACAGTTACATGGACAAAATGAGAAGAAAACAAGTTCCTTTTATGGTACAGAAAAAAGCTTGGCAACACCCAAAATCATAATTCCCATGATTTGATCTTTGTCCCTTAAGTGTTGTGTTAATTCACCATTTGCATTAGGCGTATAATGATAACAACACTGTAGTTTGTATGATTACGTTCGGCCACAATGCCGGTATCTGCACTGGACTGCGCTGTTAGAGGAAATCTAAACTCCTTATCAATCATACTCTCTCACCATGCAAATTCTCTAAAAAAAAAAAAAAAAAACCCATTGCTGATTTGGTCCCTTCAAACCCATTGCATTTAAAGCAATTAATACAGTCAATGCAAATGACACCTTTGAATACTGTGACGTCACCATAAATGCTACTCAGTTCAGGATATCGTAATGCTTTCTATCTGATGTTGCAACAATTTTGCAAAAAATTTTTGGCTGCCTTGGAAGAAATCTGTGTTGCAGGATGTTTTTTGGAGTCTGACACGCCACGAAGGCTAGGATTGAAAGCTTTATAGATGGTCCTGGGAAGTAAAGCTCAACTTGTTTAATTTCTTGCTGGTGCAATTAAAGCAAAACGATAGGCTTTGTTGCTCCTTGTGTGTTCATGTACTGGTTAGAAAGGGCATCCACAGCCGAGTATGAAGAGTAGAGGCCTGTCACCTGCAGGTCTGGGTAAGGCAGTCCTCCTGCATTGGACACAGGCGTGACATTGCCAGTGTCCAGGTCACAGTCAGACAGCCGAAGTGGGGAGTTACTGAGTGTACCTAATGCCTCCAGGTTAAAGCTGTCATCCTTCATCTCCTCCCACAGGTTTCCTGCAATCAGAAGAGGAGAACTGTGTTAGATATCAGCTTAGATACAAACAAACGTTATGTGGCTTTCAATATTTTAATATCAGTCGATTATTAACATAGTTACCTTGCCAGGCGAAGTCCATAATACTTGGGTCCAGTGCGTCCACCTCTGAATTCACATCGGTGTGAACCGTGTAGAAGCCGCTGTGCGAGCTGTTTGTCAGGTCGGGGATGGTGTGGAGAGGGGGTGTCTGAGCAGGAGCAGGGGGGGCCGGAGCCAAGCGAGACTGATTCTGGAGCTGCATTTGAAGGTGCTGATGCATAGGGAGGCACTGTAGAGAGAGAGTGACCACTGGTCGGGGCTGCATCTGCACTGGTATTGGGAGGGTCGGCCCTGGTGGGCAGCTGGGCAAGCGAGTCATGCCAGTCTCAATGGACTTTTGTCTGCAGCTCTCCGGTCTGTCTGTAATGAGTTTGTCTAATTCATCTGGTAAAAGAAAAAGTAGCAAAACAGGACAATATTAATGACAGGTTAGATTTCTACCGTTACTTGTCTGCTCTAGTGTCGGTACTACTTCAGCTTATGCTTTGCATAGTGGTACTATGAATATGGTTGGTTCTTGTATGATAGAATGCCTGTGTGGCTCCTCATCTCTTCAAGTCGCTTTAGATAAAAGTATCTGATAAATGACTGAAGCCTGGAATACACTACATTAATCTTTACCAGAGTTTTGCCCCGTTTTACAGTGTGGAGGAGTCAACGCTAGTTGCGTAAAGTCAGAGCAATTCTGCAGATTTTGTGCAGTAGGAGTACTGAAAATCTCATAGTGTGTCATGGGCACAGGCTCCAGGGGAAATTTTTTTGGGGGAAATGAAGCATGCTTGACATCTCTAGTCAATATTAGAACGCATAGCGTTTTCATTTGTCATGTGTCTTCCTAGAAACAAGGCGTGTATTTCTGCATGAGTTTGCTTTGTGACTTGAACCAGCCTTAAATGTAAGAAAATGCACTGCTGTGATGCTAGAGTGTTGTGGGTGGTTGTCAGAGCAAAGATGTCAATCAAAGATGAAACTCTGTTTCCTAGCACTATAATAGTCAACGATTTGAGACCTGGATTGGCCATGCTGCGACGGATGGCTGGGAGATCTTTGCGTTTCCATTTCTGCATCTCTTCCTCCATTTTATCGATCTTTGCAGGATTGAGTGCCCAAAGACAGCCCTTTCTGGAGGAACCGCTCATCTTGTTCTCCACCTTCTCGAAGCACTTGTTCAAGGACAAGTTGTGGCGTACAGAATTTTTCCATCCATCAGGTGCTGTCTGAGAAGCACAGTAATCGACAATACAGTATATTGTAAGTAACATTTATTTGATTCCATGGTGTGTCGGCTTAGTCCATCTATTCGCCGGCATTCTTTTGCATAAACTCCTCACCTTGAAATAAGGGAAGTGCTCTTTCATAAAGCTGTAGATCTCACTAACAGGAAGGCTGCCTGTTTTGCTGTTCTTCAAAGCCATGGCAATCAGACAGCTGAGAAAAGATATCAAACATAGTCAACTTGAGATAAATAAAATCTTTAATGCCTTTAATGTTTTTCAGAGGCTGTCGCAGTGAACCTTATTTCACCTGTAGGAGTAGATGGGTTTAGGAAAAGTCTTGGGCTGCAAGTCCTGGTTGTGAGCAGTAATACGGGGTTGAGGAAACAGACTCTGGCTGTTGTAGCTGCCATAAATCCCACCGGGAGAACACTAAAGAATGTAACACAGAAATGGTATCTTGATATATAATATTACTACTTTGAACAGTCCTTACAAATAATCCCAATTACTGAACCAACCTGTTGGTTTGCCTGAGTGAAAGTGAGAACTTGTTGAGGGGCGGTCTGGTACACTGATGCGGCACACGGAAACCCAGGGGAAAACTGGGGCATCTACAAAAACAACACAGAATACATCTATAAACAAGATTATTTTAGCTTTATTACAAATGGTTGTTAAGTTCTGAATTGGTTGTATACGTAATATGAAATAGTTTGAAATCTGAAACCTCACTCACGCTACTGATGGCCAGAGGGCTGTGCTGCATTTCACTCTGTAGCTGAATCACAGATCCTGCTCCTCCTGCTACCGTCATGCTATTCAGCTGAGCTGAAAGGTTCAGCAAAGTGTTTTTTAGGGATTCAGTCCACTACTGTTAAAGGGTTAGTTCACCCAAAAATGAAAATTCTGTCATTAATTACTCAACCTCATGTCGTTCCAACCCCGTAAGACCTTCGTTCGTCTTAGGAACACAAATGAAGATGTTTTTGATGGAATCTGAGAGCTCTCTGAGCCTCCATAGACAGCAAGGATACTACCACGATCAAGGCACAGAAACGTAGCAAGGACTTCGGTAAAATAGTCCATGTGACATCAGGGGTACAAACACAATTTTACGAAGCTACGAGAATACTTTTTGTGCGCAAAGAAAACAATAACATAATTTATTCAGCAATTCTTCTCCCTGAGTTACCATCTTCCACAATTTTGGAGAGTACCCCAGAACGTAATCAGTGTTGAAAGTGTGTGCATTCTTTGCATTGGAACGACATGAGTAATTAACGACAGAATTTTCATTTCATCATGGATGAACTAACCC